TGGCCTCGGGCCGGCCCGGGTGGGTGGCCAGAGGCTGTTTGTCCAGAGACGCTTAACTCTTAAACCACACGCAAGCGTGACTGATGGAAAATGCAAAGAGAAGCTACGCGGGTGCGTCCTGCCCTCCGAGCCCTGGGAATAGTTTAAATAGCCCTGGAGTGATCTCCAGTTGAAGGCTGGTGCCACCTGGCCAGGGACCCATCTGTCCTCGTTCACATTTTCAAGGACATGCGAGTGTCTCTGATCCCATTTCCTAGCTTTTCTCCAACACTTGACCTGTTCGCGGTTCCACTTCCTCTCACTTTGGTGGCTGATGTTCAGCCAGGACAATGTCCACCTCTCTGGGTTTTCCCCCCACGGGACCTCACGTAGCCACCTCCCTCGCCAGGCGTGGCGTCCGCTGCAGCCTGCCACCGGGAGCACTAGGGCAGGCCACCCACATCTGGTCTCTTTTGTGCCTGTGTCACCAACACACCCTGGGCTCCGGGTCTGAGTGGGACTGAATTTCAGCTGTGATAAAGGAACTGGGCAGATCAGGTCCTCCTCCGGCCCACTGCAAACCTCACGGTAATAGGGTAATTCACAGTATACACATCTTGTTGAGTGGAATAAATTCGGTTTCTTTGCGAGAGCTTTCTAGCCCTTGTGGCCAGGACATGTCCATCAAGGCCCCTCAGTCTTCCCTCCCCACCTCCCGGGCCCCCGGCTCCTTGCTGGGTCATAAAAATGCCCTGTGAACAGCCTGGGGCTTTCACAACCATCTTTTCCCACAGGAAGCTCAGAGATGCCCACAAATGTCACAGATGTCCAAGACCCCCAACTTCTTCTCGGTGTGCACCTGGGTCACCTGTGGCCTCCTGCAGCCACCTCAGGCTGAATTCCCCATGGGCTGTGGCCCACTGGAGTGCCTGGCTTTCCTGGCCATTTTCAAAGGACCCCAAACCGCAGGCACAAGCCTCACCCCCAGCCCCCAAGTAGCAGAAACAGTGGCCTTCCTGGAAGGCCGACCCCTCCAGCCGAAACTGCCGTGCCGCGTGGGCTCCCGCCTGCCCACGGCCCGCCCTGTGCTCACCCGCTGGGACCCCAGGCCTGACCCATCCCGGGAGACAGACCCTCCCAGGACACGTCGCAGGGACCTCCGAGGCTGTGCCATGGTCAGGTGACCCTCCAGGGCCTGGGTGGGGGCGGCGGTGGCAGGGGAGCCTCGGAGGGAACGCAAACCCGCGAGACGCCCGACTGCAGCCGCCGCGGCCGGACTCT